AAGAGGCTTCCTCGGGAGGTGGTGGGCTCTCCTCCTTGGGAGGTTTTCAAGCAGAGGCCAGGTGGCCATCTGACAGCAGTGCTGATTCTGTGAACTTTGGCAGATCATGAGAGGGAGGGCAGGAAGGGTTGCCTCAGTGCTCAGTTCTCGTGGCCCTTCCTTACACGCCCAGGGAAATGCCGATCGCCACTTTGGGGTCAGGAAGCCATGTTTCTCCAGGCCAGTTTGGCCAGGGATCCTGGAGTTTTTTTGCCATCTTCTGGGCATGGAAATTTGAACATCTTTGCAAAATGTTGAATATGGTTGATTCAAATGTTAAAGTGAATAATGAATGATGTTTGTACGTGCATGAATAATGACTTACATGTTAGACCTTGAGAAGGGGTGTTGGAAATCTGTCTGCGTTGCAAGGTCTAATTCAGTGATTATAGGGTTAATCTGCTTTACCTCGTGTGCTATTGTTTAGGCTGACCTGGAAGGGAAACCTGGCTCAGAGCCAATGGAAACAAAGCCCGTGAAATCTAAGTCTGTTTACTCACAATCATTGGTTAATGTATTCAGGTGATTTCCTTCTAGGGGTCAAGAAGAAGAAGAATCTCCATTACAGTTGTTGTTGTGAGACCGTGTGGCTGGTCTGTTTCTGTAGCTGTAGCGATGTAGTCTTAGGTCTTTTATTTTGTAGCTTTTCCTGTGTACCCTTTCCCTTAGAAATAAAGATTTTTACACAGAAAGAAATGCCTCCTCTCCAGTGAGGCAAAGATCCATTGCAAACTCTGAATATCTAAGTTTTTTTAACCAATTTTTCCAACAACTGCAGGTGTGCGGGGGGGGGGTATTTGTGAATTTCCTGCATTGAGAAGGGGTTGGACTAGATGACCCTGGAGGTCCCTTCCGATTCTATGATTCTATATAGATCTTTCACAGTGCCAATGAGGACAGAGGAATGTATTGTTGGATAGCTGGGAGCAATTCCTTTTGCTCTTTGTAACAAGAGGAGCCCTGCTGGATCAGACATGGGGTCTATCTAGTCCACGGGTGTCGAACTCATTTGTTACGTGGGCCGGATGTGACATAAAGGAGACCTTGTTGGGCCGGGCCACGTGTGTCATAAAATGTAATGCCAGGTAGCAGAGAGATAAAGGGAGCAGAGATATAAACTTTATAAAGGACACAAACACAAAGGGGGCTTTTTAACTTAAAAACATGCTTAAAACATTAGCACTCTTGCAATATTTTGTTTATTTAACCGTGTCTCATAACGGACGCCTCTTGCTCTGAATTATGGCATCAAAATGTCTGTGCCGTTGCAATCTTGAGTGTGCTGTTCAGGTGTGTATCTGTAAGCTGCAAACCTACGATGATGCAGGAGCAGCAGAACTGGAAGAAGAAGCAGAAGACAGCTGGTTCCACTGCGGGCCTGATAGAAGCCCTCCGGGGGGCTTCATCCGGCCCCCGGGCCGCATGTTTGACAACCCTGATCAAGTCCAGCATCCTGTCTCATACAGTGCTCAACCAGTTCCTCTGGAGGGCCAAGAGGGCATAGAGGCCGAGGCCTTCCCCGATGCTGCCTCCTTCTGACTCTGGGAATCAGAGGCTACGTGCTCCTGAATGTGGAGGTTCCCCAGTCACCATGGCTAATAGCCATTGATAGACTTATCCTTCACACATCCAATCCCCCTTCAAAGCTGTTTATTCCTGTGGCTTAATGTTCAGACTGTGCAAGAGGAGGACCCCTTCTCACTTGCTGCATGAAACCCACACTCAGCTCCCAAAGCCTTTACCTCACCATACCTAGCACCAGGGGTCATTTCGTAGAAAATTCCAGCAGGGCTCTTCTGATGCACTTATGAAAGTCTCGATCTCTCAGCCCTGTGGCTCCTGTGCGCTCCCGCAGGAAATGACCCCTGCCTGGCACCCTTCACTTTCGAACTGGAAACCTCCACATTCAGAGGCAGTAAACCTTTGCCTTCCACTGTCAGGAGGCAACACCATGGGAAGGCCTCTGTCTCAATACCCTGCTGGTGGACCTCTGGAGTAACCGGCTGGCCACTGTGTGAGACAGGAGACTGGACTGGATGGACCCCTGCAGGGCTCTTCTGATGTTCTTATGAAGGCCTTGGCCTCTCTGCCCTGTGGTTGGCCCTCCAGAGGAACTGGTTGGCCACTGTGTGGGACAGGATGCTGGACTAGATGGACCACTAGTCTGATCTGGCCGGGCTCTTCTGATGTTCTTAAGAAGGCCTCGGCCTCTGTGCCCTGTTGTTGGCTGTCCAGAGGAACCGGCTGGCCCCTGTGTGAGACAGGAGGCTGGACTAGATGGACCCTCACTGGTCTGATCCAGCAGGGCTCTTCTGATGTTCTCATGAAGGCCTCGGCCTCTCTGCCCTGCTGCTGGCCTTCCAGAGGAACTGGCCAGCCACCGCGTGAGGCAGAATGCTGGGCAAGATGGACCCTCACTGGTCTGATCCAGCAGGGCTCTTATTAATGGAGTTACTATGCTAGGATAAATTTTCCGTATTGAGCCTCCACATTCAAAGGCAGTCAGCCTCTGAATCCCAGTGCCAGGAAGCAACACTGGGGAAGTCCTCGATCTCTATCTCCAGGGCGACTGGTTGGTCAGAGTGTGAGACAGGTCACTAGACTAGAGGGGCCACCGGTCCGATCCAACAAGGCTCTTCTTATGCCCTTAGGATGCCAACTTACCTGGGCGACCCCTTCTTCCCAGCCGCGGATAACCTCCTGCTTGCCCATCACAAACTTGAATGGCTTGTTCCTGTCGCGGGAGGAGTCAAACTTCTTCCCATCCTCCAGCATACCTGGAGGGAAGAGAAGAGGAGGAAGCCCACGTCACAGTGGTCCCACTGGTCAGGGCGGCGGCACCAGAGGTGAATAAGAGAATGACCGATCTGTTGCAGTTAAAGACTAGCTTGCCCCAGAACTCTGAACAAGCAGCAGACACAAGAAGGAGGAGGAGATTGGATTTATACCCCTCCCTTCACAACCCAAAGGAGTCTCAGAGCGGCTTACAAACTCCTTTCCCTTCCCCTCCCCACAACAGACACACCCTGTGAGGTAGGTGGGGCTGAGAGAGCTCTGACAGAAATGGCTCTTTTTCAAGAACAGCTGTGCCAGAACTACGGCTTGCCCAAGGTCATCCAGCCAGGTGCAAATGGAGGAGTGGGGAATCAAACCCGGTTCTCCCAGATTAGAGTCCGCACACTTAACCACTACATAAAACAACAGACACCCTGTGAGGTAGGTGGAGGCTGAGAGAGTTCTGACAGAAGCTGCTCTTTTTCAAGAACAGCTCTTATCTGAACTGTGGCTTGCCCAAGGTCATCCAGCAGGTGCAAGTGGAGGAGTGGGGGATCAAACCCGGTTCTCCCAGATTAGAGTCCGCACACTTAACCACTACACCAACCAAAAGGCATTGAGCACGAAGAAGAAGGAGAAGAGGAAGGAGGAGGAGGATAGAAGATTAAACAGAGTCTCAGAGCGGCTTACAAACTCCTTTCCCTTCTCCTCCCCACAACAGACACCTTGTGAGGTAGGTGGGGCTGTGGGAGGTCTTTCGAGGAATGCCCTTGAGAGAACAGCTCTGAGAGAACTTGTGACTGACCCAAGGTCACACCAGCGGCTGCATGTAGAGGCGTGGGGAATCAAACCCGGTTCCGGGTCTAAGCTTTTGTGTCCCCGCACACATCTTCAGATACACTGAAACACTGGAAGTCTTCTTAGTCTTTAGTTGCTTTAGATTTCCGGGTTGTGTGGCCGTCTTAGTCTTGTTTCTATGTATCTGAGGAAGTGGGCCTGCACACGAAAGCTTATACCCAGAATTAAACTTAGTTGGTCTTAAAGGTGCCACTGGACTAGAGATGTAAAGGCCTGGGAAAAAACCCGGAAAAATTAGGGAAAAAAACGTTTCCCCCCCGTTTTTTTCCTGAAGCCTTTTTTGTTTTTTTCTGAAAAATTGGAAAAATTGGGGGGAGGGGGGGAAGAAAAAAAAATTGATTATGGAACATTTTATTTTAACACGATGAATAAAATATTTTAAGACAAGGTGTTCAAATATTTTCCCAATCATTTCTAAAATATATATATATATGGTATCAGATTGATCTAATTTCTGTGCACTGAGGACAAGCAAGTCCTAGGTTACAAACTGAACTCTCCAATGCAAGAACAAGATGCATTTCTTCCTTTAGGAGGTGCTATTGTCACGAGAAAAGAAAAAGGTTTCAGTTTTGTTTTTGCATGTGGGCGGGTATTCTGTTTGTAAATAACTGTTTGGACACACTATATTTTTAATATGCTAGTTGTGATAATTTCATGCCAAGTAAAAATGTCCATAGTCATATTTTATGTTCCTAAAGTAACAGAATGACTTTCAATCTAGAAAAGACAAAAGAAGTGCTAATGTAGAATTTTTTTCAATTTTTCCGAAAATTTCCGTTTTTTTCCGGAAAAAACGGGGGGGTTTCCCGAGCTTCAAAATTTCCGGAAATTTTACATCTCTACACTAGACTCAAACTTTGTTCAATTAAAACATTTGGTTAGGAAGGATCACTGAAAGAATGCAACAACAAAAAAGTCTACACCCGCCGTCGGGGACCTCCAAAGATGACCATAAAGGTCGCGTAAGTTCATAAATTGTGTTTTTACTGTTTTTAAATTCTTAACTCTGGACTATGTGAATTATTATGCCTGGGGGGGGGGGGGGGCAGTAAAAATCCAGATAATTAAATAAATAAATAGATGACAGATAGACGATAGAAAGACAGCAGATGGAAGATAGGAAGACAGTAGATAGAAGAAGGTGGAAGATGGTAGATAAAAGATGGTGGACAGAAGATAGAAGATGGTAGATAGACAGAAGACAGAAGACGGTAGAAAGACAGCAGACGGAAGATAGGAAGACAGTAGATAGAAGGAGGTAAAGGTAAAGGTTCCCTTGCTCGAAAGCCAGTCGAATCGGACTCTAGGGTTGCGGTGCTCATCTCCGTTTCAAAGCCGAAGAGCCAACGCTGTCCGAAGACGTTTCCGTGGTCATGTGGCCAGCATGACTAAACGCCAAGGCGCACGGAACGCTGTTACCCTCCCACCGAAGTGGTACCTATTTACCTACTTGTAATTTCTTACTTTCGAACTGCTAGGTTGGCAGGAGCTGGAACTAGAGACGGGAGCTCACTCCGTCATGCGGCACCCGGGTCTCGAACTGCTGAACTACCGACCTTCCACAGCCTGCAGTTCAGCGTCTTAACCACTTGAGCCACTGCAGCTCCTGGCTCCAGAAGGAGGTAGAAGATGGTAGATAAAAGACGGTAGACAGAAGATAGAAGATGGTAGAATATGGTAGATAGAAAATAAAAGATAGAAGTCGGTAGACAGACAGAAGATAGAAGATGGTAGACAGACAGAAGACCGACAGATGACAGATAGATAAGGGAGTAGGCAATCCTTCAGGTACATTGGTCCCAACCCGAATAGGTGCTCTTCCTTCAAGGAGTTCAGGGTGGCATATTTTCTGCCCTACTGAGCCATTTTATCTTCACAACCACTTTGTGAGGTAAGTTAGGGTCAGAGTAGAACTGGCACAACATCCCCCAGAGAGCTGGGTGGCAGTGGCAGGGAGGGGTTTTGAGGCCAGGGCTTCCAGGTTCCCATCCTATCCTGTCGCCACCAAAGATTCTTGGTCATCAAGAGAAGAGAGACAGACGTAATCTGTCCATTCAAATCCAAGCAGCACCACAGAGACATCTCTTCAGACGCTCAGCAAAACCCACAAAGTTGTTAGAGAGAAGAAGAGATTGGATTTGAACCCCGTCCTTCACTACCCAAAGGAGTCTCAGAGCGGCTTACAAACTCCGTTCCCCTCCCCTCCCCACAACAGACACCCTGTGAGGCAGGTGGGGCTGAGAGAGCTCTGACAGAAACGGCTCTTTTTTCAAGAACAGCTCTTATCAGAACTACGGCTTGCCCAAGGTCACCCAGCCAGGTGCAAGTGGAGGAGTGGGGAATCAAACCTGGTTCTCCCAGATTAGAGTCCGCGCACTTAACCATGACACCAAACTGGAGGAGACTGGATTTATATCCCACCCTTCACTACCCGAAGGAGAGCAGCTTACAAACTCCTTCCCCTTCCCCTCCCCACAACAGACACCCTGTGAGGCAGGTGGGGCTGAGAGAGCTCTGACAGAAACGGCTCTTTTTCAAGAACAGCTCTGACAAGACTATGGCTTGCCCAAGGTCATCCAGCCAGGTGCAAGTGGAGGAGTGGGGAATCAAACCCGGTTCTCCCAGTTTAGAGTCCGTGCACTTAACCACGACACCAAACTGGTTAATGACGAACAGACGAGATGAGAGTGGCCCTTTCCTCCAAAGATGGCACAAATCAGAGGCCGGGCACCTATGAAGAATGGCGGGGAGGGTATAAATCACCAAAAAAGTTTCCCTCCCTGCCCCACTCCCAGAACCTACATGGTCTTAGGAGCTGAACCCTCCTGGCCCGCTTTCCCATCTCCACTCCTTCTGGTTTCCTGTTTTACAAACCAGCATTCAACTTCTCCAGATCTTCTGCCTCTCACCAACTCACAACTACAACTGCGGATCTGCTAGAATAAAGTGCGTCTTTGGGCCCTGCAGGATCTCCTCTGGTATGCAGTCGCTCTCCAGGGTCCCACACAGGGGCCCTCCCCAGCACCTAAGGCCTGGACTTTCACAGCAAGCAGGGATTTGAATGCACCTGAAGTTTCCTTCTACTGAACCAGACCCTTGGTCCATCGGACTCAGTATTGTCTACTCAGACTGACAGTGGCTCTCCAAAGTCTCAAAAATATAAAGATGTAATACATTTCAAATATCAAAGATGTAATTTAATATTTGTTTTCCAGCAGGTGCTAGCAGGTATACAAAGTGCGTCTTTGGGCCCTGCAGGATCTCCTCTGGTATGCAGTCGCTCTCCAGGGTCCCACACAGGGGCCCTCCCCAGCACCTAAGGCCTGGACTTTCACAGCAAGCAGGGATTTGAATGCACCTGAAGTTTCCTTCTACTGAACCAGACCCTTGGTCCATCGGACTCAGTACTGTCTACTCAGACTGACAGTGGCTCTCCAAAGTCTCAGCCAGAGAGAGGATTTTTATGTCACCTACTGCCAGACCCTTTAACTGAAAGTACCAGGTGTAATGATTTCATGTTTTGGCGTGTGTGTTTCTTTAAATGTTTAGTTTGACTGCAGTACTGTAAGGAGAGTGATAGAGGGAGACAAGTGTGATGTGACTGGCTGATGACTGAGAGTGTGGGAGGAGGGGTGTCTATTAGATGATTCTGTGTGTGACGTTTGAAGAGAGAGCGTAGTCTGTGTGACTATGGGGAGTTTTTGAGTCTATTCTGTGTGAATAATGAGTCTATTCTGTGTGAATAAGACAAACAGTTTAGTCTGTGTGAACATGAGTTTTGAGTCTATTCTGTGTGAATAGGACAAAGAGTTCAGCCTGTGTGGCTATATATGAGAGATTAGACCGCGTGTCTAAGCCTGTCAGAGTGGAGTTTTGGGAGTCTGAGAGACTGTGACACCAAACTTTGCCAGTTATATTTACAAGGTCCCTTCATCAGCAACAGTTCAAAACAACTAGAAACCTAGTTTGTTCTTTATTAAATAAATCATTTTGTTTAAAATTATCCCAGAAATCAGAAGAGTCCTTCCTCAAGGCCACATAGTCCTCTGAAGTGCCCAGACCCTAGGTCATTCTACCAAAAGACAGAGATTTGGAATTTTTAATTCCTGGTGGCAGCAGAAATCGACCAAGTTTTATGTACACAGAGAGTGTTTC